AAATCCTGTGGTTTATGATCAGTTGTTAGCATGAGAGATTTTTGATGGTAGGCTAACTCCAGTCTTTATGAACTGTAAATCCTGTGGTTTATGATCAGTTGTTAGCATGAGAGATTTTTGATGGTAGGCTAACTCCAGTCTTTATAAACTGTAAATCCTGTGGTTTATGATCAGCTGATTGTGTTATTACTGAGTAACGGTAAATGTAGATTATAGTAGTTAATTGGTAATATTTAAGCTCCTTTTTTCAATGATGTTGAACAAAAACACAACTTTATGTGTGTCTCAACAAGCTATTTACAGATCACATTCAAGAACAGTGGAACAAATAGATGGTAAATGGAGAAAAGTCATTCAGGTTACTGTAATAGCCTATTGAAAATACAGCACCAAATCATGAGGTATTATAGATTGTGTTAGTTAAGTGACAATATGTCCCACCATTTTTTCATTAGAATTTGAGTGAAAAAAAAAAAAATATATGCTTTATTTAATAAATTCAATACAATATACAGGGTGTCCTCCAAGATTGACATTATTTTGTAGTCTAATACCATAGCCAAATTTCGCTCAAATGATCTCAAATTTTAACAAGCTGTATAAAACCTAAGCTGACTGTACGGTCTTATCTCAATGAGAATCTACCAAGAAGATGGATTGGGTATTTCCTGATAATGATAATGTGCTGTTGAAATGGCCACCACATTCAGCTGACTTGACACCTTGTGACTTTTTTCTATTTTTTTTTTCATTTTTATGTGTAATGACAGATCTACATCCATTATTGTCCTCATCTTAGTCGCCATATTTATTACAACATTTCAGCTGTTGTACACTCCGGCCTTCTTCAGGTGGTTGGAATGTCGAACTGAACCCTTTATTTTGCTCACCGAGGTAGATTGTTTTAGTTCCACGTGCCATGTTTAATGGATGTCAGTTATCAGTTATCTCTTGCTAATTTCCCTCTGTAAGTTCTCCACTGCCTTAACCAGGCATTGAACTCACACTCTTTGGGTCCTGTCACTGGATCTAACCAACACCTTTATCCACTGTGCCATGTGTCCTTGAGGATGTTGTAATAAATATGGCGACCAAGATGAGGACAATAGTCCGAATAATGTAAATAATGTACATAATACCTCATCTCAGAAATATAGACAGATACAGATCTATATCCCTGTTCTTCCTACACTCCTAGAGGAACTTAAGCAGAGAATCACTGAGGTGCTGGAGAATGTTACGCAAGATGTGCTACAGCATGTTTGGCAGGAGCTGGACTACCAACTTGACATGTGCCATTTCACAGGTGGTGCACACATTAAACATTTGTGAAGCTTTGTGAAATCAGTTATAAAATCAACATCCCATTGAATATCTTGTTGAAGTTTTGATAAGTAAATCTTTTATTGTTCAACATGAAGCCAAATTAATTTTTGTTTGGGACATGTAATTACTCAGATATTCACACTTTAAATGCTGTCAAGTTTTTTGGGACATCCTGCATTTTAAAACGTGATTGGGGAAGGGGGTCTTTTATGGCAAATATAGCCCAAAACCTACATTTTGACTTGAAAATACGTCTTATACGTCTAGTTATCTTGTATGCCAGTATATAGAGTAGGTGCATTTTTCCACATGGAAGAATTTAATGGAACACCTTTGCTTCATATGTACTCTGATGTCAGTAACTGTGTTTTTCTCTCTACAGGTATATCTTCTTCAGACTATGCCAGAATTTGATCTGGACTCACTTTCTGTCATGGTTCAATATCATATTTCAGGTAAGAAATGCTATTAAATCATTTTCTTGAAAAATTCTATACATGTAAAAGAAGAATTCATACCATAAAAAACTACTACAAAGAAAGATAAAAAAAATATATTGGAGAAAAATATTCAGAAAAAAAAACAACAAAATTATAAATTTTAATAAAAAATTTTTTTATCCTTTAGAATATAATCTTTTTCATGGCTTGAATTTCACTGATATGGGATAAGCCAAAAATCATATGATCTCTAATCCAGGATAATCTCTAAGATCCATTCTGTATAGCCATTGTATACAAGACTGGCCTGATTCAGTCAGATAATCCATGTTTTGACCATAATCAAAAGTAAGGATTTTACAACAACTGCATGACATAGTGTTGATTAAATCTTCTCTGTAGTCACTCACCAGCCTTAAGTTTGTAGGTTTCTTTGATTTGCCAAAACAGAAATAGAAGACATCTTGTTCAAGTTTAAATATAAACAATGCCAATCTTTTTAATCATTTTACCCCAAGCAAGGCAATAAAGCCACTAAGATGCAAGAGGTTATGAAGTGTGAGAGAATATGAGAAAAAAAATTATTAATGAGATCGAGAGAGAGAATAATAAATGAACAGTAATTAAGAAAACAGAAGATAACAATTGGCATTGCATTTGAAGATCAAAGTTAACTGGAAAGCAAAAAGCTGGAAGAGAGTTCAACAAGAAAGAAGTGCAAACGAAGAAACAGTTAGCATAGAACTTATTGGTTACATCTAGTAATTTAAACTGTAAAATTATGAGATATTGATGCCAATCTAGTACTTTGTTTAAATTCGTAAAGTCTAGATACTATAGAGGAAAACTCATCAGAACAATTATCATGAAAATATTTTTAGAAAAGTTACAGAGGAAGCTATCTTATGATGGTGGGAAAGTGACTGAAGGTGGGATGCTAGGTCAGGAAAAACAATTGCAGATTCTTCTTTGTATTTTATCTAGAGTCTCTAAATACATAACAAAAGCACCATACCAGATATGGCAGCAATATCCAATGCATGGATAAATGGTGGACTTATAAATCAACTTTCCTAGCAGTAGACCTAGCAATTGATTCAATATAATCTTTCCAATTCATGTCCTTAGAAAACATTAGCCCAATAAAGCACAATGAGCCACTCACTTGGAGGTTAGCATTAGCCATTCTGATGGAAGGCAAAAAAATACTTATATTTTTAGTATATAATTTGTATCATGCAGTAATATCATTTTAACATAATTCATATATGTATATGCAAATTAGCTACGGTGGACCGGTCATGTCTTGAGAATGTCTAATGACAGGATACCCAAGATCCTAATGTACAGCCAGTTAGATCAGGGTTACAGGAATGTAGGACACCCATGGCTAAGATACAAAGACAAGCTGAAAAGCAACTTGTCAGCAGTCAATATACCACATAATACCCTTGAGCACTTAGCCTTGGAGCGGGTAGAATGGAGATCAATGTGTTTTAGTGGACTCAGCAATTTTCAATCTGCTTGTCTGAATCATCTTCAAAAAGGGAGAACAAGATCTAAAAGGTCAGCCAACCTAACAGTGATCTCATCTCACAATCCTCACACTTGCTCCATATGTGGCCTCCATTGTAAATCACTAGCGGGTCTTAAATGCCACTTAATATTATCACACAAAATTTCATAACTGAATCAATAAGCTGTCAGATCCTCATACGTTGAAACTGATGGGAGAGTCCATTATTATATGCAAATTAGAAATCATTTGGTTTTAAATTTAAGCAGTGTCCTGTCATGATTTTAAGAAGTAAGATTAAGCTAAAAGCTGAGATCAATTTTACATTGAAAAAGAATGTGTTTAATTTAAACTTTCAGAGCTGTATTTAACAAGAGATACATAATAAATATAAAATCATAAAGGATTTTGAAACTGTTTACAAACTGAGAGAAACCAAATCAACACATAAAATACAATGTGCATCCATATAATAATGTTTTAGTTTATAGTACTTGTCAAAGAGCGCACAGATATTATGCAAAGATTAAAGAAAAAAAGAACCAAGGATCAACATGTTGAACTGAAAAAATGAGCTCAGATAATATATCCTGATTTGGGGGAATGAATGAAGGATCAACACTTTTATCAGGCCAGTGTGTACAGATACTAAACTCTGATTTATGGGAGATAATCAAAGATCAACACTTTGAACTGAAAAAAGTGAGAACAGATACTATACTCTGATCTGGGGAGAAAATGAGGGATCCACACTTTTATCTCAGCAGTGCGCACAGATACTGTACTCTAATTTAAAGGAGACAACCAAGGATCAACAGTGAACTAAAAAAGTGTGCACAGATCTGGGGAGAGAGAATGCAGGATCAACACTTTGATCTGAGGCAGTGTGCACAGATACTATACTAATCTAAGGGGGAGAACTGTGGGTAAACATTTATCTGAAGTAGTGCACAGATAATGTATTCTGATCCAAGAGGGAGAACCAGGGATCAACACTGATCTGAGGCAGTGTGCACAGATACTCTACTGATCTGAGGGTGAGAATCATGGATCAACACATATCTGAGATAGCGCACAAATAAAATACTAAATTCTGATCCAAGGGGGAAGAACCAGTGATCAATCATTTGATCTGAGATAGAATGCACAGATACTCTACTGATCTGAGGGTGAGAACCATGGATCAACACTTATCTGAGGTAGTGCACAGATACTAAATTCTGATCCAAGAGGGAGAACCAGTGCTCAATACTTTGATCTGAGACAGAATGCACAGATACTCTGATCTTAAGTAGATGTGCCAATCTACATGTAAAAATTTTTATAATAAAATTTAATTTATGTAATGTAATTTTCTGATCAATATAACAGATGACAATAAATAATATGATTAAAAAATTCTCATCTAAGCCAATGAAATTGATTTATGGGAGATAAATAAACAGATAATAATGGAAACCATTTAAAACACAATATATAAAATTATGATGGAATTCCCATGTTTAAAATTTCATTATCACTAATTCTGACTTGTATGTGCTTTCATCATAATTTCATATTTGCATTTCTTTGGAACTTTATTCAGGTTGTCAATCAAAAATCTTTTCCTTCCAAGTTTGTTGTGTCCATGAAAGGTGCTGCACCAAAAATGCTTTAAAGACCAAATGGTGGCAGCTGTTTCAATCTAGCGAGATAGCTTTATTCATTTAAATGGCTCATGGCCACATCATGTTGAAACATTGGTTCTCATACGATCACCAAAGTTAAGCACTGTCAAGCCTGGTCAGTACCTAGATTGATGACTGCCTGGGAATACCAGGTGTTGTAAGTTTGGATGTGCAGTTGGTGTTGGTGTGATAGATAGTGTCAAAGAATTGTTAACTTGAGCACCAAGTTTCAATTCTCACTGAGTATGTTATATTTACTTACACCCTTGGGAAAGATGAATTAACCTCTTCTCCCTCCAGCAATGGGTTAATTAGTAAGATGTACTACTAAATCATTATTACTTAAAAAAAAATTTTTACAATCTAAAAATATTTTCTGGCTTTAAATAACCTACAATGGGCTGATAAACCATAAAAAAACAAATCAACCAAACAATAAAAACTTAAATGAATATTCAGGTGTGTAATGGGCAGTGACTTGGAATGAGAAATCAGAGTGCCTAAGTTCTAAATCCAGTCAGGTTCATTACAATCATTTCTGTGCAAGTATCCTTGGGAAAGGTATGAATCCATCTTTTCTCCCCTTCCCCAGTTATGGGTTAAATAGTAAAACTTGTATATAGAAAAGTCATTGTTATTATCAAAAAATTGTTAATGCAATATTCATTCACAAAAAAAGCATAATTCTTACAATTAGAAAAATATATTTCAGCTTTAAATAGCCCACAAAGGGTTGATAAGCCATAAAAAACAAATCAAAATCAAAAATCAAATTACAGTGGAACCTCGATTGATGAATTTAATTCATTCCTGAAGGCTGTTTGTAAACCAAAACTATTTTTCCAATAGGAATCAATGTAGAGAAAAAAGTCAGAGTACAATAAAATTGGAAATGAAAGACACAAGACAACACACGAATGTATACAATATGGCGGTAGACTCAGAAATGATTCCGTTCAGGTTAACTCTGTTTCAGAATGTTGTTCAAGAACTGAAATTTTGTTTGATAACTGTGGCATTTTCATCTCAAATTTTCTGTTTAAAAACTGATTTGTTCAACATGTGAGATGTTTGAAAACTGAGGTTGCTCAGTAATGATTTAAAGAAGGTTTAATAAAGATTCAATAAATAATGAATTTAATCATATTTAATAATTATTTAAATAAATTTTATTTGGAAATCAGCTTTACATAGCCTACAGATAAGCTGTAAAAAACAAATCAAATTTATGACTTAAATAATGTGTAATAAAAATTAAGTAAATAATTAAAATAAGGTTTAATAAAATTTAAACAAGTAATGATTTTAATTTTTATTTAAATAAATGTTATTCATTATTTGAAAATATTATTAGGAAATTCAATAACAAAGTGTAAAAAAAATTTCATTATGATGCATTTTGTCCTTGAGGGTATCATTGGACTAAAGTCATATTTATGTTGATGTAACTACATATGTGCATGAAGGCAATGAAGAAGTTTAAAAGATAAAATTTTCAGCATACCCACTCCTTCATGTGCATATGTACTTACATTATCATAGGCTCAACTTTAGTCTGATGAAGTCCTAAAGGTCGAAATGTGCCAAATGAAAAAAAATTACCATTTTGTCATATATTTCCTAATTAAAAAAATTATTTATACATGAAATATATATATATGTAATTATTTTATTTGAAAATTGTAACATAAATATGATATAAAATCACTACAAAAATAGCCATTTTGTTTCAACATTTCAGGTGTCTTATCAAGTAATGGTGTTGAATGTAGAATCCTACATGTTGAATGTAGAATCTCTCTCTCTCTCTCTATATATATATATATATATATATACACATTATTTTATATGTGTATTACTTAGTGGAAAGCAGTTAATATCAGTTGTGTGAATATGAATTTGTGTTACTGGGTTTCACACTTTTGTGATCATCAGACAAACTGGCTTATTTTTTTAAAAATTGGATCTATTTATGCTAGTTTGACCTCCTCCAACCACCAAACAGTCAAACAAACTTAAGTAGATCCAATTTTTAAAAAAACAAACCAGTTTGATGATCACAGAAGCATGAAACCCAGGGTCACAAATTCGTATCCATACAGCTGAATATATATATATATGTGAAAATTACCAGAATTTTATGTGAATTGTCAAGTTATTGAGAATCTTGCATTGAACCACTCATCATGGTCAGATGTTTTATAACTATTTATTGAAGGTATTATCCAATCCCATGTGTATACTTTAACAGATGAAGTGGAAATATATGTGGGAAATAATTAATGTCAAGAAAAAATAGTATAAAAAGAAAACTGTTATTAAATCTAATATAATAATAATAATGATAATAATAATAATAATAATCCACCCAGACCCGGTTACGGAGATAGGACCTGTTACAATTCTATGGGACTACACAATACACACTGACAGAACAATCAAGGCCAACCGGCCAGATATTGTTATTAAAGACCACAAACAAAAACGATACCTCCTTATTGATATGGCAGTCCCTGCTGACTGCAATGTATCTTTGAAGATATTCAAAAAGTTGTCAAAGTACAAGGACCTTGAAATAGAAATCTCGAAAATGTGGCATATGGAAACATCAACAATCCCTGTTTTAGTTGGAGCCCTAGGACTGGTTGGAAAAGATTACAGTAGACTAATTGAAGGGATTCCTGGAAGTCCATGCCTCAAGGAGATACAAAAAATTGTTCTGACAAGTACAGCCCACACCTTACGAAGGGCTTTATCTATGTAATTTTTTTTTTTTTTTTTTTTGTGAGTGGAAAGTGTCATGACGCCATTTCTAACCTTAGGTCCCTGGGCGGGACCCGGAAAGAAATGTGTAAACGCCAGAAATCAAAAAAAAATAAAAATAATAATAAAATTATAACTGAGAAACTATGTGAAAATTACAAGAATTTTATATGATCTTTCAGGCTAACAATTTCTGTCAAAAAGCGTTCAACAGATAACTGGAGCTATAATATTCAATAAATCAAGAAAAGTTCAAGTGACTTATCTGGTTGACCAACTCAAGAGTTTGCATCAGCAAGGCAAATAAGTCACTTGAACTTTTCTTAATTTATTGAATAGTCATTATATAATATTACATAAAAATATTACTTAACTTTTAAATATCAATTTCTTCTTCTTTTCCTGATTTTGAAGTTTCCTGGTAATGAAGACCTCTCAAGGAAAAATATTATTTTAAAAAACAGAACCCCTTAAGGAGTGGTCATTACCAGGAAACTTTAAAATCGGGGAACAACAACAAAAAATTGATATTTAAAAGTGAAGTAATGTTTTTATATAATATTATTAACACTCCATTTCTAATATTATTTTAATATTTTTGATATTGAGCACTATATATAAAAATGTCTGCTGTTTCTTAAATCATATATATATATATATATATATATGTAAAGTGAGAACAAATGGAGTAAAATTCCACTGTACATAACATTTAATTTAGAAGAGGACTAAATACAGAGTAGAGCAAAATATTTATTTTAGGGTATGTTAAAAATTGCTCTATAATGTAGCAATTTTTAACATGCTTTAATATCATAAAATAAATTATATATGACTGAAATAAATCCTAAAGAGCCAGGAAAACCTACCTAGGTTTCACCTAAATGGCTCTTCAGGGTAAAACTGGCTTACTCTTTAGGATTTATTTTAGTTATTCCTGCTCTACTTAGCGTATTGAGCACTCTACGTTTTAGTATTACTACTCACTTGGGTTTTTTTTTCTTTGGACTAAAAACTCAAGGCACTGGACAATTTATTTTGCCCTGTTCTGATGTTTTTAGTTCTCTCTTTTTTTATTTCCAATTTTTTCCTCAGGTAGCAATTTGTTTTGACATATCTACAAGGTGAGTTAGCCAAGGTTTTTTCCAAACAAATATTACTATATATATATATATATATATATATATATATGTATGTATTTATGTATGGTCACATGGTTGAGTGGTTAGAACGAATGTTGTATTCTGATCATGAGACCCGGGTTCGAATCTCACCATTATTGATTTGTCAGGAAGGAGTCTTCCTAATGTTATCAGACTGGAGAGGTTGATTCCAGCATGCAGCACCTTTTGAAAGTGCCTGAAAACCATACCATGGGTTGACCCAAGCCTTGTGAGCGAAATTTGGTAGATGGAACTCTTGGAGGGAGGCATCAATAGCTGTGCTAGCACAAAGTCACAAGTCTTCGTGGCCGAAAGCTTGAGCATGCATCCCATTAGATAACATGCTCTTTCCCAGAAACTCTAACTAAAGTCTGCTCAGCATAGTTGCAGTACAAACCACAGGTGGAATTTGTGGGTGCTGAATAAACACAAATGTGCCTGAGCAAGTGTCAGTAATAGGGATTGTCTAGCCGCCCTAGTAGACAGGTATCCTCGAATATGAGTGGCCAGCTATATATATATATATATATATATATATATATATATATATATATATATATATGTATGTATGTATGTATATATGTATGTATGTATGCATGCATGCATGCATGCAAGCAAGCATTCAATATTATGAGTAAGCAATGTTGAGCATGGTCATTACCTAGAGAGATGACCCCTTGTGTGAGTGGTGTATTGGATAAATTGTAAACTGGAAAGCCAAGTTCTAATTCCAGGCATGTTCATTATATTCATTTACATACAAATACTCTAGAGAAATGTATGAATCCACATCTTTTCCCCTCTAGCAATGGTTTAATTAGTAGGATTTGGTTCAGTAAATTATTATTATCTCCAAAATGAATATAAGCATATTTCATAAAATACAGTCAATCTGATGAGATGAATATGCTTATATCATTTGAAATAAATTTATTACTGACTATGGATTTTTGAGGTTTTTTCCTAATTATTATTATTATTTGCTCTGTATTATACATTGACTTCTCATATGAATTGAAAAGTCCTCTTTGGAATAATCTCTACCAATTACAAATCTCATTTGGTATTATCTATTTATTTATTCATGAAATAGGTAAAGAATGAATGTTTACCAATTTAATATGTTTCACTTTTATTTAAAGCGTCATCGGAGAATGAGATATGGAGAAAAAGAAGGAAGAAATTCTGGTATATTTATATTTGTGTCATTTGATTTTCATTTGTTAGATACCACT